TTTTTTTTCTTTGTTAATCAGTTACTCCCCGTTCGATATAGACAGACAAAATGGCACTTATATGAAAATTCAGAACTTTCAATAATGACAATTTTAACGATGTAGCCTAACATTTTAGTGGCATGACAGATTTATCTTGAAACCAACAAAAGTGTTTGCAATAGCGGGCATGTATTGATTGATAGCTGTTATACATAGACAAAAAGAAAAGAGCGACAGCTAATATAAAGCATAAACCCCGTTAAGTATTAGTTTATTTAAAAGAAGTGCTCATCTGGAACCCCTAGATGAGCCCTTTTAATGACATTCGGATTCAATGATCAGTAATGGTTACAGAGGGCCCGAATACATATCGTGGCGTATAATCATGGCACCAAAAGATGCGCGTCCATTTTATTCCAAAGTCTGCAATAAGTAAGGAACAAGATAGAACTTTCCAATTTGATTTGTAAAAAGAAGAGACATTTTCTTCTGCACTTGGTGTGTCATACATAGTTTAAGAACCTTTTTTGGATGAACAAAATAATTTTAAATAAAATGGTATAATTGGTCTAGGGTTAATTTCTTCCTTAACTATAACCTCACTTTTCAGACTTGTTGTAAAAGAGTTTTATGATGATATCTAGGGCTAGAGAAAGCGTTACTTACATTCTCTTTTCCGTACTGATACCTGGACTGACTACTCAAGCACGTGCCTCTCCGAGTGATATATCTTGTTTGGTCAAGCGTGCATAAAAGTATAGTCCCCTAAATTAACTCATATCATTTCATTTATCAAAAAGTCAATGGCTGTTATCTTTTATCATTATTATAATTAAATTGAATACAGTGTATAAATTGATAGTATATTACGATATAATTTTAATAACATTAATATTTTGACACTGTTTAACTAACTATAAATTTCCAAGTCGATGTTTTGCACGCTTGATTAAGCAGAGGAACTCTTAGATTTAATTTTAAAATCTACGTATTCAAGTTTTAGCTATGGTACAAGTGATTTACCGTTATGCTTTTCTATTGGTTTGCTGTAGAACCAGATGACATTTTGAAACACGTTGCCCCTTGTGACTATTTCAAAATGTCATCAGGCATCTATAGCAAACCAGTAGAAAAAATACGGTTACTATTAAATATCCTTTCGAATTATATTTCATAGATAAAACTTAAACTTCATTGAAAAAAAATCATGTCGAAAGCATTAATTTAGTAATGTATAGATAACCTAATGAAATATACATCTCTACTAAAAGTTGATTAAAGATCAGTATCTTATTGAAAACTTTGCACGTTCGACCTTGATCATTGTATCTTAAATGACATTACTGAGCCAAGTATAACATGTTTAAAAAATGTAGAAAATTACTTTTTTGTGTAAGGTTACCTAATAGCGTCTAAAATAAGCTGTACTTTTCATCTGAACAAATTCTAATGAGATCCCCTTTGCTTAATTTACAGCTGTTTACAGTACATGTAATAAACACATGAAAGAGTGCATTTCTTTTAATTCATCATAATTCAATTGCTATATTTATTGACGTAGATATTTACTTAATTAATCCAGAACTATTGATTTCATTTGAAACAATCCTGCAAAAATCTTGATATGAGCCCATAGCAGAGGTGTCTGAGAGAGGAACGAACGGCAACTCTGAATGGGAGATTGCAATAAAATGTCTGATTTCATTATAGTGTTTTGTTTATGATTCATTCACTTACCATTCTGTATTTAAAGCTTTACATATGTCTGGAGGGAGGGGAGGAGGGCTTCACTTGTGTCTATGTTCAAAAGGAATATTAAAAAGTTTAGCACATATGACATCATTTTGAACGAGAGGTATATACATATTCCTTTTGAAAAGTGGGGGATATTAATTTGGGTCTGTCCGCCTGTCTGTCCGTCCGTCTGTCATTCTGTCTGTCTGTAACGCTTTTCGTTTCCACACGATATCTCGAGAACCCTTTGAGCCTTCACAATGAAAATCTGCATGTCAACTCCCTATGGACTAGAGCAGACCCTATTGATTTTGAGGCCAAAGGTCAAGGTCATAAATTCGCAAATTCTGTCTGTTATAACACTTTCGTTTCCGCACGATATCTCGAGAACCGTTTCAGGTTTTGCAATGAAATTTTGCATAACAACTCCCTGTGGCCTGAGAAAGACCCCTATTTATTTTGAGGTCAAAAGGTCAAAGTTCAACACTATCTTTTGCGGGCGATATTTCAAGAGGATTTAGAGCTTTTGCAATGTAATTTTATACCAAAACTCCCTAAGACCTCTCTCACCCCTCTCAAAGTGTCCTGCATCGTTTTTTTTTATTAGTATTTATTGTATTACATGTCGCTATTTTTAGCACAGGGGCATGAGGAGAGTTATTACTTATAAAACAGGTTCTCGGCGGACTTTATATTCTTACTACATTGGAACTATTTAATAAAGGTTAAATTAGACACTATGCATTGTGTAAAATTTTGACAATATCGAACGTGATATATAAATACATGTATGTGACTTCATCTTTGCATATAATTTTTGCCTGTGTAAAGTAGTTCTGTGGTCTAGTGGTATGTCTCTCGCTTCATATGTGAGAAGTCCCAGGTTCGAATCCCGGACGATCCACTTTCTTTTTTTTTTTTTGAAATACTTTTTTTTACTAAATGATAGTATTCAGCATGTGAAATGAAAAATAAAATTATGGGGTCTGGCTTGTACAAACTCATAAAATCAATACAGTGTGATAAACATTCCATATGAAAAAAATCTTCTATACAATTAATAAGGAATAAGCAATCAAATCTTTATATGCATATTGACATACATGTGTTTTATTTGTTTCAGTACACATGTATACATTTAATGATTCTACAAATTCAGTCAGGGGGATCCGATTTTTCCCTAAGCGGGGGACACGAATTCTCTGAATTAGCTTGTTTTTAATTGTATTTTACCTCTGTTCCGCTCTTTACGACTAATTAATTTTTACCCAATATCCAGTAAATAGAACATATCAAGTTTTAACTTCAAAGAGGAAAAAATTGATTAATTGGCTTTCATTATTAGACTTTAAAGACCAATTTTAGAATTTCTCTTTCTTTTTTCTCTTACTAAAATTAATTTGATCTTTTTCAGATCGCTAATTTAATTAAATTAATAGATCAAAATCGCTAGGAAATAACAAAGTTATCACGATATATTATTTTCACCATCATTCAGAAATCGATCTCTGATCGACTCAAACTTGATCACATGTTTATGGTATATTATATATATATTTTCTTGTTGTTTCACGACCATCTTAAGAATATAACAGCATATAGACATGTAGCAGTTTTTAGAACTAATCAGAATTGCATTTATTAAAACTTTACACACTTCAGAATTTCAATCCATATTAAAGAAAGGCTCTGTATTGAATCAAGAATAGATTTTGAGACACAGTCCTAATAACAACAACCAAAAAAAATCAAAACGTCAAAAACAACATTTTTAAGAATACCCAGACTAAGTGTGTTTTCTGTACGGTAAAATAATTGGAAGTTCCATGTGATGTTCTTCTTGTATAAATCGTTTCAACAAGACTTAATTCCATTACCCACAAAAATGAATCAAAAAACCACAAAATACATATTCTTAGAAGGAGAAAATCTGTTTTTAAGATATGAAAAAATGATTGTTCATTTATTTATCATTAAGTTATATTAATAGAAAGGAAAAAGTGCTTTCTGCTCATTGCTTCAGATCACTGCTTTCCACAGCACTTTGCATTCTGCGAATATGCTCACAAAACAAAATCAAATTAGATATTCAAAATAATGTCACAAAATAACACAAGTTCTATTAATAGCATATGCTGAATAACGTTTTGTTCCTTGTTTGTGACGTCAAAAACTGAAAATGACGTCACTATACAGGTCACTGTAAAATTTATGATATATCTTAGAAATCCCTCTGAAGAAGCGTATAATAATTTGTACACAGTTTATTAAGACAAATGACATCCTATAAATTTAATCAATAATTGAATTGATCGTTTTAGTGAAGGAAGGCAGTTGTTTAAAATAATACTTGTTATCTTACCCAGTGAAAGCAAGTTTGAAAAGAGATGTGTTTTTAATTAACCAATTTACACTTTGAAAAATAGTTGAATATTTCAACAATCTATAATTATCAAATACCTAAGATATCATTTACTTTCGATTTTAAACATATTAGAAATGATTTTAAAAAAGGCATCCATTCTCTATCCACCTTGAATAAAAGTCTCTCCCGAGAGAGAAAATTTGGGTTTTGATGGTCGGCATGCTTTATTTTTGGAAAGGATAATTCTATCCACCAATTCTGTTGACGAGATTTGACTATTTTTGACAAATTAACCGTTTTTGATATCAAAATTAACTTACTTGGAAAGAAATATAAAACACAGAATAATATTTCACCTTTTGTGACAGAACGCTACGGAGGGTTTCACGTGACCGCCTACATCACGTGAATTGCGCATGAGCAGAACGGTGACATATGTCCAGTAAAATTGGAGAGGAATGATTTAGAATATAATCAACACTGAAACCAAATATTGTTTCTTTTATGGATGTTATTCAATTATTTCGCGAACTTTTTGAACACCCCTCGTATATTTCATTTCCCTTGGTAACGGTGCATTGATAATCTTATAATCTTAGGATCCACAGGAATTTTTAATTATTGAAATGGATCTATATTTGTTTTTTTAATGTCTGATTATCCTGTTCAATAAATTGTCTATGATTGTTTTGGAACAATAATACTTCGACGCCTCGGTTAATAACTTCCTCCCTCGGGAAACCCTAAATTTGCTATGTCCCTTATACCCATTCCATTACTGTATAATTTTCTTTCACGGTTACATACATCCTCTTGCATTGTACTATGGAATTTGAAGCGAATGGGTTTTTTTTACGTATAAAGCAAGTAATATTTATTTAAGTGTTATTTAATAGTTATTTTCAATAAAAGTGCCAAATATACATGAATTACTTATCGTCCTCATTTTTTTCCCTAAATTGCATAAAAAAGCAGAGGTTGACCTTTTTCTACAAACATAAATATGCATCTTTTTTAACATAGATGTAGCAAACTTGCTATAATTATAAGTTTAACATTTGTTTTGGTCATTTTTACAAATTACTTAGATTAACATTTACAGTTTGTTTTTTTCAAAAGTAACTGGCTAGAATATGAAAAAAAAAATAGATTTTGCACACATCCTGTAATCCTTTTCAAGGTCTGGAGTCATTCCTTGGCATTATGAATATCTCCAAAATCATCGGAAAACGGGAAATAAGCGATATATTTCACAAACGTAATGATGTTTCCTATAAAAACTGTCGTCATAACAGCGAAAGTCGAGATCACTTCTTGCCCTCATGTATATTTCATTCAGACCATCTAACTGGCTAGCAAGACAGTGACCAGGCATCAGGGACCCGTCATGGAATCTCCACTGGTTGTTGTCCTTGACTCCTTGAACCCACACCTGGATAGGTCCATTTCCTGTATATTGGCCTTAAAACAGATAAAGATGTATCAAAATCGTAAACTTCAACGTTTCGTTGAATAAACCATTTGGATTCGTGGTCATGTTCAGTTTTCAAAGTGCGGAAATTTGATGAAACTTGCGGAAACTATTAGTAAGCTTAAGTTTTCACAGAGTTTCAGCCATGCGGAAACTAGCTGTTTTTATATAGAGTGTCAACACTTGTATACGTCTTAAACCATCAAACTTAATGGTATTTATTTAAAAAAGTATCAATTTAAACTATTTTAATACACGTGAAAGAAATTGTATTCAGTTTAATTTCCATATGCAAAGTTCCCTTAAATCAAGCAATTAAATGATCAATTAGAACAAAGAAAAGTAGTAACAATTGTTTGCAAAAAAAAAAAAAAAAGAAAATTGGAGATCATACAGTTTTCAATGATATCTTCTTTTTTTCAAAATCACATTGTGTCACCTTTATAATGATTATCTGAAGGTTTTGAAGAATGTAATTGAGAAGTGGTATTGAAGAAATATATTTCAAAAATTTAAATCGCTTGTAAATCAACCTACCCGAAAAACTTTTAAAAATGTCATATTTCTCCAAAGAATCGATTTTGATGAGATCTCCGCCATTTTCCTTACAGTTTTCAACAGCATCAGGGTACTTGGAATTAACTGGTACATACATGAGGCAAATTTCAAAATAAGTGTAGTTGTATGTGGTATACCCTTCCGGACAGGGGGCTGAAAAAATGAAAAAAATAAAGGTGTCATCGAAAAAGTCGTTAACAAAAATCGATCATTAGAAAACTAATTTCCAACAAAGAAAAAGAAATCACTAAAAAGTCTAAATCCATGTCACTCTTTTTTTTTTGGGGGGGGGGGGGGGTCATCTGCAACAAAATAAATTAGATCCCAATTGATTGGTCTTATTTGGTTTGAATCTTATGCATTGATAAAATAGAAGGAGCAACCTGTTTCCAAATTTCTTATCTATGCAAGTACCAACCAATACCTGTTTAAAAAAAACACTGATGCCCCCGCATTACATGTGAAGTATGAAATTCCTTTACTTTCAAAGCTTATATTCAATTGTGCAGACTTTTTTTTAGATTTCATAATCCAAGGTCATTCAAGGTTAAAAAACTTTTTTTTAGATTTCATAATCCAAGGTCATTCAAGGTTAAAAAATAATACATTTATGGAAAGGTTTCATGACATTTAATCAGATATATTAAAGTTATGACCAAGGATTAAATTTGGTAATTTGTTGCAAAGCTGGGTCAAACTAGAAGATCAAAAGGTGAAGAGAATAAGTATATTTGTACCCATAGAAAGGCCGTGTAAAAAATATTGCACATGTGAATTTTGAGATTAATTTCTCCAACCAATCAGATATTGTGGACAAACAAATAATATTTAATCAGACAGAGAGACAGACAGGTGGTACAGAACAATTTATCTCCGAATCTCTGATTTTGAGGGCATATGCGGTAAATTCCTAATTAAAAGCGAGGAATTTATTATCGCGTAATTCCGCGAGAAGCATCACTCACGAATAAAATTTTTCGCTTTTATTTTTACGTTGTTGCAAGCCATGTAAATCCTTTTTATCAACCGCCCTTTTGTGAATAAATATTCTCGCGATAAGTACTCGCGAAAATAAGGAATCCACAGTAATTGTTGCAATGTATGTCATTCAAAAACAACTCAATGAGATATTAAAATGAGTGTTAAAATAGAATATAGGAAATTATGACATTAAACAAGATTGTCTCTCGTCCAGGACGATAGCAAATAATAATTATCATAAATATTATGTAGTAAATATTGTCACCTATCCTAGATATATTTCTTCTGTTTTCAATGAAATATTTTCGACTGATATGTATATTTACGAGGCATATATGACTTCCAGCCCGTGCCAGCCAAAGCCGTTCCAGGATTATCTTTGCAACACATACACATCTCATCAACCTTATTATAACTGCACATATGTGGAGAATTAAGATACGTCAAGCATTTGTAAAAACAAGATGACGCTCTTTGTATGTTAACAATTTGTACACATGATGTTGTTGGGTTATCGCTAACTTGAATTCCTAAACCCTCACCAACATCACTCTGAATTGCCATTTTAAAAACCAAAAGGTAAGTCATAAAACGAAATAGTAATACAAACATTAGGGCAATTTGATATCTGCCTAAATATTAATAGAAAAACCAAACTGTCTCCACTATCAAGGATACTTTGTATAAAACGTCAGAAGATCTAAATTCATCGTTATATACACATAATTGATTATGGTATTAACATTTCCGCAAGGATGTATTTACTGAAGATATACAAAGGTTCAATGTCCTGAAAAAATGATGCCGTGCTAAAACTAAGGCTTTTTTTTTCTCAAAAGTCTAGAAATGTCTCGACTTATGTAAACTTTTTACTCAAGAACTAAGAAATGGCACTTAAATAGGTTTTTAACGCAAATGGGATCCAGTGTTTGTGAAAAAGAATGCTTCTTACAAAAATGGAATAGTCATGAACATAGATTGGATAAATGGATTTTTTTTCTTGTATTCTCATGTAATCTGAAACATCAATATCTTTAGCAGATTTTCTCACGTACTCTATGCTCATAGATTTAAAAATTTTACCAAAAAAATACCAATGCATCTTTAATTTATAGTACACCCAAACTGTGTATGGTTTACATAATATTTACAGTTTGCTCCAGTAGGTTATTGCAAAAACAACAATTGAATAATATAATCTTCAACACATTAGTTAACATATAGAATGATACAAATATGAAATGAGATATACATAATCTCCTGCTGAGAGGTATCGATAATGTAAAGAATGTTCTAACTAAAAAAGTTTGATTTTTTTTTTTTTAAAAGCTTTTAAAACCTTTCAAAATTTTGTAAAACGTCAAAGGGTAGTTATTGTGGGCTGTTATTAATTTTTTTTTTATTCTTGTTAAACAGTGTTTGTTTTTAATAGTTTTTATAAATGGAAAATGGTTCGAGGACTTAATAAAATTTCAGGTTTCCTTTCTTTTATTTTCAATCTTCATATTCAATTTAACTTAAAATAGACGAAATCGTACTGAACACATTTGATCAATATTTTGATGGTAACCTACATGTAGTAAGACTTTTGCTTCCTGTTGGTCAGGTAGATGCTAAATTCTCATCCTCCTACCTTAGAAGTTAAAAACAGTTATAAATTTTCCTTCATCAATGACTCGGTAATGGATTGTTGTTGATTGCATACTGTTTAACGTCCTTCTCGAGAATTTTTCACTCATTTTGAGATGCCACCACCCAGGTAGCACAACAACGTTATTAAAACGTTATCAAAACGTTTTCAAAATTTTATAAAAACATTTTCTAAAACGTTATTACAACGTTATTTTTATGGTTTTTTAAACGTTATCATAACGTTTTTCAAAAACATTGTCCTGCAATGTTTTGAAAACATTTTTGAAAACGTTTTCAAAACATTTTTAAAAACGTTTTCAGAACATTTCTTATATGTTTTAAATCATTTAAAAAATATTTTACAACATAAAAATCATTATACTTCCAACAGTTTTAATTATTTTAAACTTTTTTCACAAATGTAATCCATGAACTGTTTTTAACATCCACACAGTCAATAGCAGTCTTCGTAACGGAGAAGATTTGTCACAATTGAAATTAGAAAAAAATCACAACATCTTCATCCTTTGAAAATCATGTCTGGCACTTGGACTTCTTTGTTTTCTTCTGAAAAACAAAGATTTAGAGAACAACTTTAATTAACAAAATGAATATTCATTCCCACAAATCATTTTAGTAAAATACATGTATATCCATGCATTAGAAGATATAAAAATTATACATAGTCATACATCCGATAAATACAAGGAAAGTGTGTATTGTCTTTCTAAAATTTTTATTAAAAAACTTTATTGTTATGACTACGTTGGTGTGTTTTAGGCAACAGTTCTCACTATAATATATATATAGTATACTAAATAAATCTCAGTCATACATTCTTGTTAGGAAACTTCAAACATACCTTCAGTTATAATTACAGAATGAATAGCCTGGTACATCCCTCCGGAATGGTACGTGTTTAGCAAACCTCATTATGTCCAATTCCTCTCATAACATGTAATCTTTAAAAAGGTCTATTTAGTCTTTGCAAACAGTCACTGTGAATAAAAAATGATATTCATCTTAAGAATTGTAAATTGGTAAATGTATACATGATACTGTATATGAATACAAATCATTTAACATTTCCAAAGAAGTATTTAACTAACTTGTAAACCCCCCCCCCCCCCCAAAAAAAAAAAAAAAACACATACGCAAAAATACCCGATCTATTCTAATCATGTTTTGAAGCTCTCAATTTGAACATCTATCTGTTAGCCTGGGTGAATTTACTATACCAGAAGTACACATTAATAAAGAAAACTCACACTAGACGCTTGTAAGTCACAATACATATGTAAATGCACGATCATGATAAACCTAGATGATCAGTTTACTTCAAAAACAACAAATTACCCGCCCAGTTCAAATATCAGTGAAATGTACAATCATTTACAAGGAATGGTTTAGGATTATACATACACATACAGCTATAATACGATGTCTTAATACGTGTATACACAATTAATACTACTTTAAATTCAACGTACCATACGATGATGTAAAATATTCCCTAAATCCTGTTCATAGTCTTTCAAGAATGCTGCCCGGTTATTCAAAATCTTGATAAGTTGACCTATATAGATCACGTGGAAATAGTTTGCAGGGAGGAGCGGTTTCATCAGCGCTGACCACGGCATCCCGCTGTGCCACTCGATCAATTAACTTTTGATAAACGCATTATCCAGGAGGAAACAACACAAGTGAATAAATGCACCGCATTACTTTGTTGAACTACATCACATCTCAGAACAAATGCTTTAAAACGGATTTTTATACTTTTTTTCCACAATGTTTTTAGGAATGTGGTTTAAAACAATTTAAAAAGAAGAACTGAATTAAAAAAACATTTTTGTGTAAATTTTATTTTTCTTCAATATGCTTCAAAAGATATCACCTAGTAAATAATAACAAACAAACGAAAAATATGCTAATCATCAAATGTAATTTTTTTAAAGAATTGAATTATAGGTGTTTGTTGTTTCTATAACGTTTTAACAATGTTTTCATAACATTTTATAACAATGTTATATTCATATTTTCTGGTAACATTTCTACCTATAATTTATAACAATTTTCATTCAATTTAATTTTTTTTTTAAATTTGAGTCAACGTGACACAATACACCACGCACTGTGTAATATATTCTTAATATCATATTGTATTTTTTTAGGATAGTTTTTTCTCCAAACAATGGAATGTGAAAACATTTTTTACCATGCTTTTAAGTAAATAAAAATTATTCTTAATATCATTGTGAAAATGATATGCAAAAATGTTTTCTAAAAAACTTCCTTCCAACCAGTATCAAACGTTATGAAAAACATTTTAAAAATGTTTTTGAGAAACGTTTTCTAAAAACGTCATTATAACCTAGATAAAACGTTATAAAAACATTTTTCAAACGTTATGTCAAAAACGTTATGAAATAACATCCTTATAACCGGAATATAATGTTATGAAAACGTTTTGTGCTACCTCGGCACTTGCAAGTGGAGAGCTGCAAATTTTGTCCTATACTCGGCACTATTGAGCAGGGAGGGATCTTTTTTGTGCCAGTACCTGCTGCATGGGACCTCGGTTTTATACGACCTCATTCATAGGGCCGGTCTTCACGTTTAACAGTGGGATTCGAACCCGCGACGTAAGGACCAACTCTTTACTTCGTGACTCTAGAGTAAACGCTCTAACCACCGTGTTTACGCGAGCGACCACTTGGTAACAGGAGATAAAATTAGAGGTTCTTGAGAATACCACGCTCATTAAAGACAGTTTTTAGCACGGTAGTTGTTGTTACGCTGAGGAGCCGTCAATATTTACTGACTCTGTGTATCGGTTTATACATCTAGATTTAGATTTATGGGGGCCGACTATAGTTTTCATTGCGCAATTTTTCGCGCATCATAGTAAATTGACGCGTATTAACTGTTTTTAAGCAACTTTTTCCACTTGATTAATAAAATTAAACAAAATTAAGCAATTACAGGTTTAAAAATGTAATTACAATTTCATATAACTGAATTTTTAACCGATTTTGCAATTGATAGGTAGGTTGACGTCGTTATAGTGCGTTTTTGACGTTATGATAAATTGAAGCTCTTAAAGAAAGGGGTAATAAAAATGTTATTAAATAAAAAGTAAAAAACATACGCTCTTGAAATTTTCTACATAGGAATTTGATAATCTCTACATCATATTCTGTTATTTTTTGGTATAAATCATATGTATGCGTCATAGTTTGTAGCATTCTATTTTAAAAGGCAAATTCGTTAATTTTTGGCCTTTTGAGATGCCCCCTCTGGTAACAAGACGGTAGAATTTTGTGTTTTTTACACATAATGTACAAGAGAGTATTACCCATCATATCTTACATTTTGAACAAAAAACGCTATTGTGGTATTTTTGTATAATTTGCTTTAAAGTGCTAAAAATTGGCATTTTCCTATATAATTTTATAGTAAATGTACCTATATTTTGAGATGGTCCCTACCTGGACGGTAGATTTCGCCCAAACTTTGCATGTACACTAAAGTTAATGTAAGTTATATATGGTATAAAAATGAAGAGTTTCGCTATTGTAGTTTTCACGCAATAAAACCATAGTCGGCCCCCTTAAAGCACACCTTTAGAATGTGTTGACTTCTTTTTATATGATTGGACGATTCTTGAACGGGACTAAATCAACATATACTCAAGCAAAGGCCGCAACATTTCTGTACTGACACATTTGTCAATAGAATAACTTTGCAAGAATACATGCAAGACTCTTAGCAAATAAACATAAAAATTCAAAGAACTTATGAAAAGGAAAATACTGATGAGAATTCATTTAGAATCTTACGCTAATATAACAGCTATTTCAATGTAGTGAGAGATGATTTTTATATCAGGTAGGATAGAGTTAAAAAGTTTGAATATATTATGTAATCAA